ATACTGGTGGTTGGAAAAAGACTTCAGTCTTCTAGACATCGATGGTAGAACGCAGAGGTGTGGACTTGAGTCACATGACTTGGACTCGAGTCATTAATTTTATGACTTTAGACTTGATTTGAAAAAATGTTCTAAGATTTGTGACTTGACTTGAACCGGTTTACTTGAAAAGACTTGATATTTCACCCCATATCTCGAAAGGACTTGAAATTCAAACTTTCAGACTTTACTCGGACTTTTACACCAGTGACTTGAGACTTGAGGATAAAGACTTGAGACTTGCAAAACAATGACTTGGTCCCACCTCTGGTAAAACGTTCCTCCAGCCTGAGCTCTGTAAACACTTTGGCTGATGAGTTTATGGTTTCAAGCCGACGACTGCGGCTTCAGTCAAATCTGATCGTCACATCTTGAGTTTCAAGATCGAGCACTTAACCCGGTCTTGTGTCAATCTTCATGCTACAAGCTTCCCTCGGTGCAGGTACAGACTAATTTCAGAGAATCTGATGTTAAATAGTTTGTGTTTACTGAACCAAAGCAACCACACATCTGCACTGGTCCTTTTAGCTTGATGGCTTAGCTCAAGTGAAGTATTAGAAGCTAAAACAAAGTACCACACAGTCTTCACATGGTTATTAAAACCACATAATAACAAAGAGCGCAGAGACACACTACAGACATGTGGCACAGTGTATTTAGTCTGCCGTGTTTGCTGTGTCACCTCAGGGTCGTTACCTTGACAACAACCTTTTTACTGACGGTGTGTGAAAACAGAAGATACGTGTTCGTGTGACCTTAGAGAAATGCTGCTGCTGCTATAACCCTGCACACAAATTAAAGGGGAAGTAAACCCTCAACTCCTGTGAGGGTGCACCGAGTGTATGCAGGGAGTTCTGATGCTTCCACGACCAGAAACAGAAGCCGAGCTGCTGGTTTGTCCTCACTAACACAGTTTTTGCAACTGGTTTGTGCAGGAAATGGCTCTTACCAACGAAGAGAACCTGCCCATGTTTATCCGCTGCGGCATCATGGCGTTGGTGGCCGCGTACCTCAACTTCCTGAGTCAGATGATTGCCAACCCGCCCTTCTGCCAGCATGTCAGCAAGGTGACTCCTCCCTGACATTACTGAGGATCAGAGCAGCTGGCTCTCATCCCCACTTTTGGTTTTTACTGCCATCTGTTGCAGAAAATACAAAAATACGATTTATTCAGTATCCTGATGATGCACCGCCGTTTTCTGCCTGTTAGCTGTTTCTTCTTGTTTACGTCTTATTTGTAAAAAGTGTAACATCATATAATCAGCTGTTCTCTGTCCAGGTTATTGAGTTGAGGAACATGGATGCTCCTTACCTCCTCCCAGAGCACATCTTCAGAGACAAGTGTCCGTAAGTGCAGATTACAGCCTGAATTTGTTTCATGAGAAATAATCCAACGGCTCGGGTTAGAAAAAGGCTGTGAAGCCTCGTTATTTTCTAATAAAACAGAGCTGTAACGAGTGTGGCAGCTGAAGCATACAAGGTTTAAGAATTTACGAGAAACAAACTCAGGAGTGAAGGAACTGTTGCAGATAAATTCACATATTCAACTTCTGGGATCAATAACTCATAAAAAAATATCATTAGAACAACAGCAGCGTGTCTTTGCATCAACAGATTTAAGACTGACAAACAGCTACTCGCTTCAGTTCAGTTTGATTTATACGGCACCAAATCACAGCAGCGGTCACCTCGACGCTACCAGCTGCTTTTCATTTAAGCGATTTGTGCTCAGACTGAGTTTGTCTCTGTGCAGCAGCTGTGAGATGCGTGTGCAGGGACCCCGATATGAACTTGTACAGAGCAGGGTTTTAATAGTTTTGCAATTTTCATTAGTTTTTATTTTTATTTCGTTTTGACTTCCAATTTTCAATTTTATATCAGTTTTAATTAGTTTTTACCAATTGTTTGCTAGTTTAGTTTAGTTTTTATTTTTTTGAAAATCTTTAGTTTCAGTTTAGTTTTGATTAGTTTCAGTTATAGTTTTAGT